TTATATTTTCACGAATCTTTCCTCTCTTGCAAGGAGCACCTGTAACATAAATAATTTCCCCTCGGGGATCAATAAAGTATTTCTGATTCTGATTCTGATGTCAGAATAAACTAAGGAACAATGCATTGCATGGTATTTCAAATGTCAATTTGGTTGACATTCGTTGTGAACGATAACTGGAGGTTTAATAAGGAGTCACATAGCAAAAAGTAAAGCTTACATTCACTCTTTTCTTCCCCAACAACTCTAATCTATGGATCTGCTCATAGGGTATGCATTCCAGTTTTGATATCTTTAAACTGAGGATAACCACATCCAAATTTTTATTGGCGGAAAAGTGCAGGAGTTTCTAAAAAAGATTGAGAATGGATTCATTACATCAAGTGTCCTGGAAAACAATGCCAGTGAGCGTTCACACACAAAAACACAGGGTCCTGTAACAGACAACTAAATGAACTGCTGCCACTATTAATTACAGTGATAGATTACAATATATGCTGTGAAAAAGCCTCTAATTATATCATTTATCAATAACTGTTTTAATTGAACTAGATCAAAAACTATGTTACTTTTTCTTATCAAATTATTTTGGTATAATTTCTTTGGTATAGATGCTCATTTTGTAATTTTTGAAATCAGAAATATTTCTAATCATCTTACAGACCGGATGCTTACAGTGTGAAATTAATTTTCAAAGCCTCCTGCACCCACATAGGTACTAAATTCTTCTTCTTCATTAGACCTCAACTGAAGTTGAGAGCAGTTATGCCAGATGTGTGCAACAAAAGTAAGAGGGCATTCAGAGAGATGTCAATCAAGCACAGTCACAAGGCTTTTCTCATTTCACATTATACATCTTTTATTCCTTTCCTTGCCTCCTTCACTCATGTCTTAGCCCTCCCTACCTGAGGTGCAAGCAGAGGAAGCAAGAAAGAGACACAAGGAGAGAGGAGTTGAGGCAACAGGAATTTAACAAAACACATATGTGCTTGCCTGGCACAGCTGCATCACCTGCGGTGTGTCACGCTGGTCACGCTACAAAATGGCCACTAAGACTGACTGATTATGACTATATTATATGTCCAGGATCATCCAATTAAAAAATAATTTCCTCTGAGGGCCTGTGGGGCAAAGTGCCTCAGTGTTTGTGGTAAAATCTTGTACAAAGATTTAGTGGATGTTGGAGATACAATTACTTTAAGCAGGTGGTTAGTTCAGCACAAACCTGTGTCAAAGACATGAAGTTTGGGGTCTGAGACAGGTGCAGCTCCTGCTTCCCCACCAGAAAAGACATACAGTTTGTCCTCTATGCAGGCTGAGTTGCCATGGTATGTCCTGGGACTGGGGGGGCTGCCATTCACCGATACATTCTTCCACTGAGACCCACTGTCTGGACACACATGTAAAGAGTGGATCATACTCAGTTAACAGAAACCTATGGTCACATACTGTTCAATCACTGTCTGGCCATAACACAGTAAAGAAATTGGTTACAACACATTTAAAAACCAAGTGGCATTGTTGCCTGAGTAGACTCTTCATCTCCATCTGAAATGTGACAAACATGTCTGATGAAAAGAGTCTGCAAGCAAACACTACAGCAGATGATTTTATACACTGAATCAGTATCTCCTCTTTGAGCGAGGTTGTGTTAATCTGTGAAATCACCATTGAGCTATGCTGCTAATGAACATTACAGAGTACTGGGTGAACTTAAATTGGGATTTACCTTGTAGCTGCATATTCTGGATACTATTGTGATTGCCAGTCTGCTGTGCCCCTCCAAACACCCACAGGCTCTGAGGGCAGCTCTCTGGCACAAAGCTGCAGTGTTCATACCGTGACTTGAAACCTCTCCACTCTGGGATGTCCCATTCATGATTGTCTGGTGGAGTCAGAAAGGACAAAAATGCACAGAAACTCCTATGATATGAATACGAAGAGAACACGCTAATGGCACTGCCAAGCACATACCAAATAATGAATGTGTTTCACCCATGCAGTGCCATGAGAAATGACACAGTACAAAATGCTTGACCCCCTGATATTAACTTTAGGTCATGGTTAAAAAGTACTTTAACAAATTCAGCACAAAATATTAAACATTTTTACAACCTTACACTTAATGTAAATGTCACAATTCAGTGTTGATTGGGATTTCATGACTAATAGATTACACACTGATCACTTGTGATGTCTGAAACAAGTCCTCAAACAACTGATGGTATCTACAAAAGCCCAGATATGGCTGAAATGTACCTGCAGTCAAATCAGTGCAAGTACTTCAATATTTTTTCTTGTATGTTTTTGGTGAACAGCTTGTAAAACAGTTATGCAGATGCGATATTCCTGCCTATAGTTTTTTTTGCAGATATTTTTTACCTAGATCTATGATATGGGAATCTGACAAAGTGCCGCTGGGGTTGGCTCCTCCAACAATACAGACTCTTCCTTTTCCTCCATCTGCAGATGGGATAAATGTGCAGGTGTGACCCACACTAACACCTGGAGCATCTCCCCTGGGCATCAAAGAATACCTGTTGACAACAAAACAATTTCAGCAAGGTAAAAAGAAAGTAAGCTCCTTACATCACAAGAGCATATATCTGATGTGAATTTACTCACCACAATCCCTCTTTGGGCTTATCTAGGGGGTCAAGTACTGGGAGAAACTCCATGTCTGTCAAGGATACATGAACGAACGTGTAGTTATTGTCTTTTTACTCTTCTCTTGTCAGGGATCAATCTGTAACATTGTCAGCGGTGATCCTGTACAATAGCAAATAGCGCTGCACTCCTAGTCTTGATCAAAATTATTGTTTTTGCTCTTTATGATTGTACTAAGTTTCTATAAGCTGATGGTATCCACAGAAGCCCTTACGTGAAATCTAACGTTAGCTACAATCAAAGCAACGGGAATAATTACGTTTTCATAGCCCCTTTCATAAACGACTAGTGACCAGTGCCTTATCAAACACAGTCAAGTGATATCAGTAAAATATAACTAAATTCAACAACAACGTCACTGAGTTTTTTGGAACACAGTGAGAGCCATCAAGTTGCTAACGTTGCTTGCTAACTCACTTGCGTGTGAAGAACTTCCTCCCCACTAACCTGTACTTCCGGGTGTGACTAGTTAGTTAACGTTATCCGTGTCATTTAACTGAAGTCGATATTCATTGGCACAACTTTCTAATATCCACACAATGATAGTGGTTATAATTGTTACATGAGACAACAGAGTTAGCGTAAATATGACTCCCAACCATGGCACAGCTCTACGTTCAAATTTACGTTGGAAACGTTGGTTGATACACGTTCCAAACTTAGTTGCCATGGTAGCCTGAGGCGCATGCGCAGTTCGCTTAGGCTGTTCAACAGCTTCTGGCATCGTGCCACCGCAAAGTTTCTAATGCATATATCATTGAATTACCGTTGATGTGAATTCCACGCAGGGTTAGCAAGTACGCATTTGCTCGATAAGGCAGTTAAAACAGTATCTTCACTTGTCATCTGACCTGAAAACTATTTTCTACTTCAACTTAAAAGGTAGGTTATATGAGTGACAGCAGTGCCACACGTTTTTTGTATTGATAATTCGAGGCACAGAGCTAGCTTACTATCTTTTTTCCCCTCTTAAATACAAGTCGACGTTTAAAAAGCCCAGCAGAATAATTGACAAGCAATTACGGCTGTTTTTAAGTTATTTCGGGATACCAGTAACTCTTGGCTGGAACAAAAATGACTAATTTCAGTGTCAGGCTACACAGTAAAATATTTTAACCCATCACTAAATTCTTAATTAGTTCAGCCAAACCAAGATGGCGGCAGGTAGAGACATTATAAATAAATCGAAAGGTGCATTATCATTTAGCCTAATTAGTTTATACTTCAATACGACAATAATGATAAACATTTGTATTTTTTTTGCTTTACAGCTTCAGACGAGGGAAAAGTTTGTCCATAACGGCTGCCATCTTTGTTTTATTTAATAAGATGAAATGATATAAAACTAAATCCCGAGGGAATTTGTTGTGCAGCAGTTTCAGTACAAAGTAGGTTAGAGTTCACCAACATGGGAAACTTGGGTTTAGTTTAGAGAATATCTTTACTGTGCAGAAGAGTCTTTGAAGCATCTTGAAATGCCTTTAAAACTTAATTAGTATTTATCAGACCACCTGTGTGCGTGTATTTGTGTTTGTGTGTATGTGTGTGTGTGTGTGTTTTTGCAGGTGCTTAACAAGGTCTGTGATCCAAATGACTCAAAAGTTCAAGAACAGCTTTGGAAACCAGGTAAACGTCTTCATTTTGCAGCCGATGATTAATTTGTCAACTCAAATAATACAATATGATCAATATGACACATCCACGCACATCCCTCCAAAATCACCAAAGGGTCTAGTCAGACACACTGAAAGGAGCAGTGAGTAGGATTTAGGGGCATCTAACATTGAGGACTGCAGATTGCAATCAGCTGAAACTTCTCAAGTGTGAACTCCCTGTTAGGATTCCTTTAGTGTTCAGTGTTGAGGAGATTTTTACTGGGAGCTGATTTAGCCACAGAGGTCTCTTCCACTCCAAAACAAACAGACCACATGATTAAAAACAGTAAAAACACTGAATAAAGCAGTTTCATGTTACAAATCAGTGTTTCTCTGATACTGTTCAGCTGAGCAGAGACGAGCTGCTAGCACAGCACCTGCTTATGTGTGCTCACCTTTTTCCTATGATAATTTAAGATCCAGGCGTTCGTGAGGTTTTTACCAAGAGCTGTATTATACATGGAGGTCTCTTTGTCTCCAGAAGAAATGGACCCGTTAATTCAAAAGGGTGAAAACATTGAGTAAAGCAGTTTCATGTAAAAAAAAAAAAAAAGAAAAGTGTTTTGCCGATGCTTCTCGTCGTGTAGGGGTTTCTAATTATGGTGGCTGACATGAAAAAGTGCGAATGGCCCTTTCTACAACCATTTTTTTGTTTGCCTGTTCTGAACTGTTTTTGGAACATGGCAGTGTGTGGATGAGGACCCACTTCCCACATAGATATAAATAGCTAATTCTAAGGTAACAAAATCACGATGACTGTTATTTTAAGTTGATTATACACTAAAGATAACATACTGTTATATTTAATTTCTGTCAGTACATGCCCCTAAATCCTAAACACTGGACCTTTAAACATATAATTTAACATTACAAGCTATATTTCACTCTTTGTTACCGTGGCATTTTGTTAGATGTTATGGACTTTTACTTGTGTGTGTGTGTTATTGTATTCATCCAGTTTGGAGTAGTTTAAGAGTAAAACTCACCTCTGTACTTACCTCTCACCTGTTTCTCTGCTCTCATTGTTATTAGTGATTTATAGGATAAAGTGCTGTTTGCGGGACTTTACTGTAATTATGTACAGTATGTTGTGTTTAACTTTACAGCATGTGACTAGTTGAACATGACAAAGCAACTGTAGAAATAACAGGCTCCGCACAGTCCTGTTTGTAGGATTAAGTGTCATAGTGCAGACAGATGTCTCGATCCCTTTAAATTAACATTTGTACGCAACATAATGATTTCCACATCCCCTACATCATCAGTAGAATTTGTGCTTAAAACAATCCTATATGAAGTTGGCAGTCATGCAATGATAGATAATGGTGGGGTAATGAAACAATATTAAACATGAAGCAGCTAAGCCCACATCAACATTTGAGTAGATGTACAAACAACGTATAACATTATAGTAAGAAGCCTGAGATAAGCTGAGATTTTTAAGCAGCTCCTTAATACATTATGTATTGATTAAATTCATCAGAGATATATTTGAATGTATATTGCCACATTTTAAATAAGCTGACATATAAAATGCATGTATTGTATCCATTTTATTTGCAGTTGCAACCCAAAGTAGATGTTTTTTACCTATCTATGTGGGGCTTCTACCATTCTGAGGTGTAGAAGTAGGTACAATGTAATAATTTGTTGTGCATTGAACTGACAGTGCACACTACAAATTGTATTTCACAATATGCCCAGTAGGATGCGCCATTGTCTTTTTTTTCAAAACTTTAAGATGCACTAAATGTTGTTTTGACTGCCTCAGGATTATTATATTATTAACTTGTATGTTTCAGTAGGTTATTTCTGATGTGTTTTTGTTTTAATGTAGCCTAATATACTGAAATGTGGACAAAAGATCAAATACTTACTGAAATGACTTAACAGTCTTTAAAGATGTCATCAACACAAGACAAATGCATGTTGTTTCATACATTTATTTAAGAAGTAATGTTTTTTAATGTGAGAAGCTACTTTTCTATTAGCATAAATACACGTTTTTTTTTTCTAAAATGTATTTAATTTGCCTTCAGTAGGGTTTTCTTTCAATTACTGCATAAAAAAAGTTGTGTAATATTAAGGCAGGAAAAGAGAGCTACAATAAGCATGATGATGTACCTAGAATCAGATACACTAAATGGAATATGGGACGATGAAGATTTAATCTGTAATTGGAATATACATTAACAAATTCACATACCATCAAAGCTTCCTGCACAGTCAGCAGTGTTGCAGATATAGCGGGAGCAGAGTGAACAAATGTGGATCAGTTAAGTCCTCTGTAGACACTTTCACCTCCTTAACAAATGAATGAATGACTACGTGAGCTACTTTCTGACTTGTGGGATGTTTCATCTCTAAAAATAGCAAAACACACATCTTTCTGGATGATTTGTCCTCCGCACCTTTTGTACTGACTTCAGTAAAACTCATCTTCACTTGTGCACAGATTTGTGCCGAATAGGCGTGTTATTCTGAGCGTAATGGAAAATAGTTTAGTGCAGCTGTAAAGAATAAAATACAGATAGGAAATCTGTAAAAAAAAAAAAAAAAAAAAGGTTGGCAGGCTGAAAATTGGTTCCACATTTTAGCAATGATAAGTGATTGCCATTCAGTGTGCTCTTTTACATTCACCGAAAGGGCAGGGTAAAGATTTTCTGAAAGAGCCACTCCTGGCAGCTGGAGGTATAAAATAGGAGAAAGATGATTTGTCCTTTTAAGTTTGTTTATGCCTCAAAACACAGTTGGTTGATGGCTGTGGTCGTAAGCACAAACAACCTCCTCACATGCTGGCATTTCCTTTCAGTAACCTTAAAGCCACAGTGTGTAGGAATTTCTCCCATCTAATGCTAAAATCATATATTGCATTCAAACAGATGGCACACTCTAGCGCCTCACTGTTTCAAACACGTATTGCAACAACTGTAGCCACTGTGTATCAAAAAGCTATGGCTGTGTTTACAATGTAGGACTGTTGGGGCGGATGTAAATTGAAACAAACCAATCACGTCTTGTCCTTTGACAACTGACAAGTGGCTCAACCTCACACACCTCATCCCTCTCCTCGCATTACTGCGCCGCTAACAGCTGTTAGTGGCCAGTGGCACTACTGTCGCATAACAAAGTCCCACTCTTTGAGCATAATGCAGGTATGCATGTATTATGCAGCATCACGGGAGACGGAATCCTCGTCACCAAGAAAGTGCAAAAGGGAATCAAAAAGGCAACGTGACCGGCAAATTAAAAAAACAAGGGTCAGCAATGGGGTTGCCTTTCCCAGGTGGAGAGAGCTGCTGAAGGAGAAAGGTAATACAATCACAGGCCAGCGCTAACAGCGGCTAACAGCGGCTAACAGCGGCGCAGTGATGCGAGGAGAGGGATGAGGCTGTTAGCGACTGGCCGCTAACAGCGGCTAACAGCCAACAGCAGCGCTGGCCTGTGATTGCATTACCATTCTCCCTCAGCAGCTCTCTCTACCTGGGAAAGGCTACCCCGATGTGGGCCTTCATGTTTTTTAATTCGCCGGTCACGCTGCCTTCTCTATTCCCTTTTGCGCTTTCTTGGCGACAAGGATTCCGTCTCCCATGATGCTGCATATGCATGATCCTGCATTATGCTCAAAGAGTGGGACTTTGTTTCAAATTTGCCAGGGTAGTAGCGAAGTGCCTCTTGCTCCTCTCCTTCGGCTCCTCAGTCACGCAGTGCTGGCCTGGCTCTCAACGAAAACGCCGAAGGCAGTGCTGTATGTCCCTTGCTGGTCGGTGTATTCTCAAGATGGCGAAACGTAATGGAACCCCACAGACGACTTACCCGCACAATGTACAAACAAATCCGAAATTCTCCTTTTATGAGAATAAGTCAGATTATTGGTGGAGGTAATAGTACACCAGTGATGACATATTTATGAATGCAGACATCAATTTTTGCCAATAAACAACTGAAAATGTT